CTATAAAAGGACTGATAGATAAAGAACAGATTTTAAAACTTATGGTAAACATGCTAAGCATTCCGATTAAGGTGTGTGGATCCTGGAGGCCACCAACCTTATGCACTTAGATGTATGGCAATGTGCTGTAATAGACAGGTTTACCAAGGCTCAGCTCTGCAACCTGGGCTGAAAGTTCTCCAAAGCAGCATCTGTGCAAGTTTCCTCTGAGTTTTATCTGCAATTTAAACAAAACAACTTATGAAAGCCATATTCAATGCACACCCAGAGTGAACTCAACTCCTCCCACCCCACAGAACAACCAGTTTGCACAGAATCATTAAGGTTGGAAAAGACCTGTGAGAGCATCAAGTCCAAGCTCAGACCCACAGACCTATTTCCCTCCTGAGCTCCAAAGCACTGCTGTACACAGCAGCATTCCTGAATTTCTCCTCAGCTCTGGTAATACAAGAGGCAAGCAGATAACAGCTTATTGCTGTGAACTTTCTAACACCCAAAATTGCATCTACAGACCTGAACCAGCCAGGAAATTTTTCTCCTGTACACATCCTTTGTGGATCTTTGCACTGGCTTTGCATGGGTGGTGATGACATCCTTCAGTAATGTGAAGCAAGAGCATTTTGCACAAGTTCTGGGAACTGGTAGATGAGCCAACTCATTCAGTTTTCACATGAGTTCTCAGCATCCAGATCCTCTAAATGACTCCTAAAAATCCCCTTAGCATTCATGAGAGCCTCAGCAGGGACAGAACTATGCCAGCATTCTCAGTCAAGCACACAAATGTGTTACCAATGTGACCAAAGCACCTTTGCGTTTCTGATAACTTGCTTGTGGCTCACAGGATTTATCTGCAGAGAGATCCTAAAAGTCTCACGTAAAGCTCAAATCCTGTAGAAATCTGTCCTTCATGGGCACATGCATGTACTTCACTCTAGCTTATCCTTGGCTCTTCAGGGATTTTGAGGAGTCTTCTCTGTTCTTGAAGTAATCTCTCCATATGAGTCAGGACCCTATGCTTCCTACTGCACCATTTCTTTTCAGCTGTTGATTTGCTCTCGATTAAGTTTGCCACACAAGTGGGACAATTTGTTGCGACAGAATGCTCTGACATGGCCAGGATTCCCCTTCTTGCATAACCACTGGTCACCCCAACACTCAGAGGGTACTCCTGCCCTGACAGGAGCAAACAGCCAGGGTTTTCCTGCTTGTTTGTATGTTTTCCACCTAACAGTAATCCTCTCCCAGTCTGGTGAGATCATTCCCCACACACACAGTTTCTGGTCTGTAAGGTTTAGATGGGGAAGGTCCCTGTACTGTCAAAGCAGCAAACCAACATTTAGCTTTTAATATGGATGAATCAGACCTGCTTAATAGGTGTTTTATCTTTGCTTAGAGCACAGAAGAGGCAAACCATTTACAATGCAGCTCCTCATCCTACCAGTTAGATCCACCCCAACACTTCACCTCAATCCAGCATTCAATGCTGCAGCCAGGAAAGAACTGCTGAGGACAGTAAGAACAGAGAAAGGAAGTAATGCCATTTTCCTCCAAAGGCTCTTTCAGCATCCTTGTATTTGCAGGTTAGGGACCTCCCAGTTCAGATTTGTCATTTTTCCATTTAACTTGTGCTTAGTTATTACAACTAGCACCATATGGTACCTTATCTATGAAATTTCTATAGTACTCTTTGGTCTCTTCTCTATGCAGGGAGGAGAGAAGGGAAAGTTAGCCAATCTAGCAGGATAAATTTGTCTGTGTTGCACAGTCACACAGACCAGAGTAAACTTTCAGTTTTTATCCCTGGAGAGGAATACTCTTCCTTTAGCTTTGCTAATATCAGTTACTCATGAACAGAGGGGACAGAAACCACTAACCAGCACCAGGCTTTCTTCCCAATATTGAGGTATTCCCAATCCAACTAATATCCCTACAGAAAGCCTTTAATGCACCAGCACTAACAGGTGCCATATTTTAAAGAAGATTTAAAACACAGTGTAATACTGAAAATTCAAGAGAAATACTAGAGCAAGGAACAGAACAGCTACTGGAAATCTCCCATCTCTGAATGCAAGAGCAAAACAACAGCAGGAGTAGGAAAGGAAAGGGGGTAAACAGGATGCAAGAACACATTTTTAAAAGGAACTATGGGTTATCCTAACTATGCAGTTCTGTTCCATCCTCCATTTCACCCAAGGCAGATGACTAGAAGAGCAACTTAAGCAAATGCTACTCAAAAATGTTGTGAAGGAACCTACACATCAGTTGATAGACAGGCTGAGGTATCAGCACCAAAAAGAGGTAAGTAGTACCTGTGGGTTACAACTGACACTGGCACAGCCTTAGGCAAAACCAGGCCCAGCATATAATCCACCCCCAACCCTCCCATGGGTTTCTGCTCCAGAACTGGCAAGATAAAAAGTGCTGCTACACACTGCACTGTGAACTAACTGACCCACACCTAAGGCTCCTCCTGCACACAAGCAGGTTACAGAGCTCAACAGATGATGATTATCCTAGGACACAGCTATAGGTCAAGCCCACTTCCTACACACAAGTTTTCAGACAGCTGGTTCCACTCTCTCAGTTTCAATTTACCTAGGAGGGGTCACTGCTAAAGCAGAGGTTTGACAAGCAGCAATTGTTTCCTGGATCACAGATAAGCAGCAGAAGTACAAAGCTGATTAGAGCTATCACAAGGCACAATCAGCACCTCTCCTACACCACAGCACATCAGACAGAAATTATCAGGCACCAAAGGCTTATGATAAAGTTAATGAGATCCTACATCTACTCAATCAAAGAATAAGGATAGAGTGGGAGCCAGGAAGAAGAACATACCCCAAAAGTCTGAGGCTGAAATGAAAGATACAGAGCATGAAGCCTGTGAAGAACCAGGATGAGTAATAAAAGTTCCAGACATGGCAAGATCTGTAACTGAAGAGGAAGCAGCTCAGGAAGGAACACCTTGCTTGGCACAAGTGACAAGACTACACCGGGCAGAGGCAGCATTCCCTGGGTGTAAGGAAGATTGTGCTGCTAGAGGCCTGGTGTGACAGTAAGCTAGGCAGAATGAAGGGCAGGAAATATGTATTACAAAAGCTTAAGATCTTCTATTTCAAGAGGTCACAAAGACATGAATACAGATGTTTCTTCTGAAGCAAGAACACGCTCAGGAAACTCATCAAATCTAGGCATAACTTAGGATTCAAAGGAATAACATGTGGCCCTGCCCCTACCTAAATTTCACCTTTGAGATTAAACTTGCTGTTTAGTGCTAAATCCAGAAGCAAAGAGGTTACAAAAAAAGCCTCCCTTAGAAGCAACCAATTCTGGAACTATAAATTTCAAGGATAAAAGGCTTGATTTTGTCAGAGTTGAAGACAGTAACCTGCACAAGATGAACGACTAGTAACCCAGGGGATTGCCATACCCTTTGGCATGATACTTCAAACCCACATAATCCTGTTTGTGAAGCTGCCTTAGAAACAGCTCAAACACTGTCATTATTAAACACAATTCAGAATATTAACCCCGCAGCACTCCATTAAAAAGCAGTAATTCCTTTGATTCATCCCTTCCTAGAACCCTATAGGCTCTGCAAGTGTGCAAGGAAACAGTTTATTTGTATTTTCCTCTGCTCCAATATAAGCAGTTTGCTCACCTTTCAGCAAGCAAATCTCAAACTTACATATCCCTCTTACATGTTGACAGCACCTTTACCTAATTTCACAGAACTGGAGATAAAAACATCATTTATTATCTGTATCATGACAGCACTAGGGCCAGGAGCATCTCAAATTTTACATTCACAAAGCACTTGATAACAATCTCAAAGACAAGCTTTGAGACTTCACTCTCTGACCCTGCACTCAAGATTAAAGAGGATACATGGTCCAAAGCTTCCAGTAATAATCTATTTTCTCTCTTGTCACTCAGACACAGAAAGCTCCTTTGAGTCAAGCAAGAGTTACTAACATGGCAGTCAGAGCCTGAGCCTCAAGCAGTGCAGCTGTCAAGAGGGGCAGTTCTTTCCCCTGAATTTTCGAGTCCTCCCTCATTCCTACACTTGTCCTCATAGATCACAAGTTGTTTGCCAAGGCAGGTCCAACAGACAACTGGAGGTCTGACAGACCAGCTGGCTGCACACAGAGTCCCAGTGGTGTAGTAGAGCTCTGTGCAGGAACATGGATTTGAGCCAATGGTGAAACCAGATCTGCAACAGCTACAGGGAAAAACAAGAGCAGGGGGTCCCAGAACCACCTCCCAGGAATGACAGCACTGCAGTGCACAGGGCAGGAACAACCCATTGACACAATCAGGTAAAAAGGTACTGAAAAAGATCATCACATGTGGGAAGGGCCAAAGCAGCTGTCCCTAAGGAAAAAACTGAAAACCAAACACCTGGCACAGGGGAAGCTTTCCAGAGGCCCCTCTGAGCACTGCACTCTTGTCACACCTCTTATGAGTCACTGGGAAAGGAGAGCTGTGCATGGGAGGCCATTTTACAGTATGTTCTCTGCTCTGGAAGTTCCAGACGAAGAGCACTTTGTGCATGCCCTTGACTAGTATATCTAGGCTTCAAGCCATTTCTCACCTGCAGGGTGGTTCTCTTCTGAGAGAAACTTATTCCACTGATAAGGCAGAAGTACTCGAAGTACTAATGTACTCTAAGTACATTCAGTTTCTGTACCACAGCATTTTATTTCTTTGAGACAAGCTCAAAGTCTTCTCAGCAAAACCATTGGGAAAGCTGGTCACAATAAACCCACTGAACTCCCATTAATTTGGAAGTAATTTAGATACCAAATACAAGAATAAACCCATCACAAAACATCAACAAGGATAACGTAATGTCAAACGCAGCACCAAGAGGTGCAGGTGAGACCACACAACTGGTGTCACTGTAAAATTACTGCCCATAAAGGCAGCATTGCCTGACTAACCCCACTGAGGTAACACAAGAAGTCCATCTGACTCAAAAACCCATGTGCACAAGCTCCCATGTCTTTTGGAGGAAAGCTGCCCCCAGGTCAGACTGCTTAATTTCAGACTCCCCATCACACTTTCCTTACTCAAGCAGCATGTTTGTGCACCTCAGTTAGTTGTGACTGTTCCACCAACCTGCTCTGTATGGCCATGGTTGAGGTTTTTCTTTACTTCTCTCACTGGACGATGCAAGTTGTACAACACTGATCCTGTTTCTCAGGCAGGGAGGCATAGTTCATTTGCCTGACGATCTCAGCAAACAGTTCATCCACCATTGTTTTGCTCTTGGCTGACGTCTCCATGAAGGGACAGCCCCACTCCTGAGCCAGGGCTCTGCCTTCTGCAGATAACACCTCCCTCTCCGACTCCAGATCCACTTTATTCCCCACTAGGATCAGAGGAACTTTCTCGTATCTCTTCACCCGGACAATCTGGTCCCTCATCGGCTTGATGTCCTGATCAAACAATCCAACTGGTTAGTACATACAGTGAATCACATGGAATTGCTACAGAACCACTACAGAGACACATTTTAACAACCCTCACGTGCAACTGAGCATTAAAAATACATCAGAAGACTTATGAAATTCATAGTCACACAGATCTAGAACACCAGAGAAACTCAGGAGAAAGTTTACTATCAGCCACTAATGAAAGTTATTTTGTCTTTTATACAAATGCATGCACATTTTATAGAATTTATGTGCATGTACAAACAAAGTGACTGCTGTGGTCTCAGGCAGTTGGGGTTCAGCTAGAGGAGGACACAGGGTATCACTGCTCTGAAAGCTGGTTTCAGCTTTCTGAAGTTGTCTCTAGCCTAACAACCCGTAACCCTAGCAGGAGTTTGCCATTACACAGACACTTAGGAAGTTTGTGTTTCACTCACAGCTTGAGAAAGCTACAGCCATTTAAATAAAGCCTTCTCACTCCTGGAATGCTTAGAATAATTCATTGTGAACACGTTTAATCACATGTAAGTAACCAAATTAGATGCTGTAAAGAGATTTTATTACCTAGAGATGCGTTTATTCAACCCTGAGCCAACACAGAGAGTTTACACTTGAAAGTCTGAGTCAGCCTCCTCTGCCCCCTGAGTGTTTTAAGTTACTATCAGTACTAGCAAGTCCTACAAATCCTTGCATAGTTCTGAGACAAAACAATTCCAGTGTTTGAAGTTACCCCTGTGCAAAGAACTGCAGAGTGGTTTACACCTACAGCCTTCAGAGCAAACAGGCTACAGACAGGAACAATTAAATATTAACAGGGTGCACTGCTAACTGCATGTCCATTCCTCAGATAACAGGGACCCACTCGTCCCCAAAACAAGGGAAAACAAGAGGAGAAGCACCCCAGTGTCACTGCTGTTATTTTCCAAAGATAAGTTTGCCTTCAGCTTGCACAGAGCTGTTCCGAGGCCTCTGCTAAGATAACACTTGGCCTTCAGCAGCAGCAAACACAGAGTGGGAGTGAGCAAGGTCTTGAAACCAGCTGGAACACACCCAGCCCAGCACACCAAGCCAAGGCAGGAGCTGCAAATCTCTGTGCTGCACACAGTGCTGCTAAACTCACTCACCACCCACAGACAAAGCCTTGCTCCTAAAGGCAGCTTGGACCAGTCACTGGTTGAGATGTTGCCATTTTCTGGAGACTTTTTATGGTAAAAATCAAACCCAGACACACAAATTATGGCACATGGGTGGCTTCTCCTCTCCAGCACCCACCTAGGCTGTGAGAGCATCCAGCTCATGCTGGACAGGAATATACTTTGAGGGGAGGGGATGGAAAATAGCAACTTATTTAACAAGTCACAACTGCATAACTCTCCTCAGGAGAAAGTGCAGGAAAATGCCTTTCGGGAAGGAGTGGGGGTAGAAAAGTACCTTTTGGAAAGTAGTGGGAGTAGTAAAGTGCCTTTTGGGAAGGAGCAGGGGTTCGAAGGGGAAGTCTCGACCTTAACACCAAGTGATTTCTTCACCAGAGGGGATTGCCAAGAGATTTCTGTCGGGGAAGTGGGAGCAGGTCATTGTTCTCCAGCACTGCGTGGGATCTAACAATGGTGGCACCCTGATAAGTACCTGCACAGCCAGCACTTTACACCAGGAAGCAGAGCTGGGAAACGCACTTTCCAGCTGGGCATTTACACTTTTGCCCCTTCGCTGATAAAGAGTTTAAACACACACACACACACGGCTGCCCCTAAAACTTCTCCCCGGGCCCAGCGCCTTCCCCGGGGCAGGACGGGACACCGGGCGCAGTTACCTGGAAGCTCTGCTGGTTGACCAGGCTGTAGACGAGGATGAAGCCCTGCCCGTTCTTGATGTAGAGATCGCGCATGGAAGCGAACTGCTCCGTGCCCGCCGTGTCCAGGATCTCCAGCACCGACGGGGACGAGTCCACCTCGATCTCCTTGCGGTAGAAGTCCTCGATGGTGGGGTCATACTTCTCGATGAAGGAGCCGGTCACGAACTGCACGGTGAGGGCGGACTTGCCCACGCCGCCCGAGCCCAGCACCACCAC